GTGGTGACGAGTGGAGCAAGGCCCTTCGGGCCACTGCTCGTAGGAAAACGAAAGAGAGCTACGGTAGTAAGTAGTTGCAACTTGTAACCCATAACCGCTGGAAAACAGACCTGACTTCGGATGCAGACTATATATTGGTGGCCTTCTCCACTCTTCCACGAAATTTGCTGAACGTCTCTTAAGACGTAGGGACCCTTGCAGATGCACTGCTGGGGTCCTTCGGGAAAAAGACTGCAACGAGGAAAACGTGGCCCTTTTTTTTTCTGTGCCCTTAGGTTTTCAGAAGGTCGGGGCGGCATTGGCTACCTCAGCCAGCCCTCTTTTTTACCCTATTTTTTGGGGTGCGCCGCATCATGTGCGCGCGCATGCTTGTGCGTGCGGAGCTCGCGCGCACGATATGCGCCGCAGGTATGGAAAAAATAAAATAAGAAATTGCATTCGGATACCCAGAGAGGGCTGTTCAGAATTTGCAGCATATTCAGCACTTCAAAATTTTCAGAATGTTTAACAGATATCCAAAGGGGGGGTATTCAGCGTTTTCAACACCTTTGAAATTGTTGAAACCTGATTTCAGAAAACAACAAAATCGCTGAATTATTTCCGCTTCAGAAATATTTTCAACAAAGATTCAGCCAGTCGTTTACCATTCCTCTTTTTCCCGACCGTGTTTGCGCTGTGCCAGTGAAAAACGAATTGCGAATGGTGCACTTTTTTCTTTTTTGGCTGATGCCGCCAACCATTTTGGTCTGGTAGCACTCTTCACCCAGAATCTTCGGATTGAACCAATTTCAATTCCCAAGTCTGTCTGGCGATGTGCTGCCGTACTGGCGGTTTAAATTAGAAGGGCAAGAATTTCAACTGGACAAAACAGGCAGCAAGGTCTGCACTTTCTTACAACTAATATGGTGCCAATGAGGCCTGTCCTTCAATGCTGCTCTAGATGTTTGATTTGAGTTGAAGTCCCACCCCCTTGCTGTTCCTATCTTTCTGCCATATTTATTGACTGTACGCAGATGAGGCGTGTCCTTCAATGCTGCTCTAGATGTTTGATTGAGTTGAAGTCCTACCCTTTTGTTGTTCCTATCTTTCTGCCATTCTTATCGACTGTACGCAGACGCCTCTTGAGACTGATTGGACTCTGCTGTTTCCCTTCTTTGCTGGATGTGCTGCTGCAGCAATGTATCTCGCAACCAATTTGGTGGTGAGCTTACTGCTAAGATCGGCCTACTTCCGAAGATTGAGATTTTGTAAGAGTTGTACCCTGGCTTATGTCCTGAGGCATGTGACTTTTGCTTGCCTATTTATAAGTTTGTGCATGTGACTTTCGCTTGTATTCTTGTAGCTTGTGCATGTTTGAAAAAAATTCTGTGAAATATGAGAACAAGCAGATCGCTTCCAGGATTCAGCTTTTGTTAGACTCAAACAAACCTGGCGTTGAGTCCTGGTATGTAAATTTTGTTTGTCGTTTAGTAACTTTATACATACAAGTGGAGTGCTGTTTCTTTAAGGTTGTGTGCCCCACGAACCACTTTAAGATCTCTCTCTCTCTCTCTTTTTTTTTTGTGTGTGTCCATTTCTTTCTGTAGTGTGGTCCTATGGACCGTCCTATCGTATAACCCCAGCCCTGCTCTATGTCCCATTAAAATTTCGAACAATACAGAGAAAATCAGCGGTCCGAATTTGGGGGGGGGGGGGGGGGGGGGGCGGGGAGAAAAGGGGAGGGGAAAAAAAAAAAAAAAACGTATGCAAAAAAAAAAAAAAAAAAAAAAAAAACCATGAAAGGCAAACCTCGCCTTGTGGAAAAGGCTAACGCAAGGACATCCCTCCGCTACTCTCCACATGCAGAAAAGCCAAAAAAAATGTCGGTGTATCTTTCCATGGAGAATTCAGTGTTAAGGCCTCGCTCCACTACTCACCAAATGTGCAAAATTGAGAATGAATCTTGCGGCAGAACATAGAAAAATGCACCGGCGCACCGCCATATTTTTTGTTTTTTGTGCATGTGGAGAGTAGTGGAGTGGGCCCCTAATTTTGCACATTTAGTGAGCAGAGGACCGCTCCACTACTGTCGCGATGCCGAAAAGACAAAAATTGAAAACATATGGTGGTGTATCCCCACTTCACTGCCCCCCACATGCAGAAAAGACATAATATGGCGGTGTATCTTTTCACTGACATGGAGAGATACACCGCCATATTTTGTCTTTTTGGCCTGTGCAGCTGCATTTGGCTATGTAGTATGTAGTTGCTCCGCAGTGAGTAGAGGCCCGCTCAGTGCTGTCGCCATGCAGAAAAGACAAAAAAATGGTAAAAAAAAAGAAAAGAAAGAAAAGACAAAAAATATGGTGGTGCAGCCCCGCTTCACTGCTCCCCACTTGCAGAAATGACAAAAAGTATGGTGGTGTATCTTTCAACTAACAGGGAAAGATACACCGCCATATCTTTTGTCTTTTGTGTAGTTGCCCCCCCGTGCAAAGCAATGGGCCGCGCTGCAGTACTCTCCAAATGTGCAAAATGAGACTGAATCCACCGATAGAACAGGGAATTGTCATCCCTTTTGTCTTTTGTCCATGTGGAGAGTAGTGCAGCGAGGCCCAATTGACCACGGCGATTCATGCCTCTTTTAGTTGACGTTTCGGGTGGGCGCCACCCGTTCTCCTCCTCGGTCCCGCGTGGCACCGGGCGCAGGGCTCCACGACCGCTTTTTCCTGGGCCCGGCAGGAGCGTCACGCTGGGACCGCTTCTTCCTTTAAGATGTTAGAGAAATGGATGAATGGATTCACACTGCAAATTTTCTCAGACCTGGCTCCAGGGTCCCCAGTTATTGCAGTCCCCAAACCCTACCGGTAGCTGAATCTTAGGGTCTGTAGGTGTAGGCGTCACAGGTCAGGGAGTACAGTACCTGTAGGAGCATGCCAGTCCCCAAAGTCCAAAATTTGCAGCAGATTTCCCAAAATAGCAACTTGGCAAGGCAGAAGCCGAAGGAGGCCAGTACCGATTGAAGCAGGCACACCCAGCCCACTTTAACTAGATATTTTGGGCTACAGTGCCGGAGGACAGTCAGTTGCAATTTCACAAATTTGTGGAAGCTGTTGGAGTTTGTGCGGACTAGTGACCTGGACGAAGAAGTGTGTGAAGGGAGGAAGAAGACCAGCGCCCTGGCTGCGACAGACCACCATAGCCAGGAGAGGGGGCGATGAAGTGTTTGGCGGCCATAGCCGCCCGTTGTTGTGAGGCACACTGCAGAGGCATTCAGGGTAGATCCAGGACATTGTGGAGGGAGGAACAGTAGCAGGGAGCATCGTGTGATGAACAGTGCAGAGATGTGAGTGGAGAGGTAGAGAGTAAGAGAGGGAGAGAAGAACCAGATCGGAGGGGGAGAAAGACGGGTACTTACCTGAGTGTGTTGCAGCGATTGAGACCGCCCAGTCCCGAACTTTTTAATTGTATATTATTTGTACTTTGAGTGGAATTTTGAATTGGCACTGTTCATAGCCATAGCCCAAGCTTGTGAGTTCTTTATCTGAATGCTCCCAATGTGCATGTGGTATTTTGAGTTCGATCTTACGGGGATCATTGCACTGGTATCGGAGCTGTAACCCGTTGCACTGCGGTGGTGGAAGAAAGCTGGCAAAGCCTAAGGCCGGCAGGTGCGTGTATGTCAGGGTTTCACTGTAGCAGGCGAGAAAAAGAAGGAAAAAGGTGTTGAAATAGGATTGGAGCGGGATCTACGTACCTGTAGCAGACCAAGATCGGCGGGGAGCGACATTGTGAAGACCGAAGTGAAGTGTTTTCTTCCCTTAGCCCTGCCTGTTGAACCTTTTGCTGTTTTTGTGAAATTTCCACGTATTTCCTTAGTAATGGTTGCTGCTGGTCGAGCACTTTAGACATCATCCCATCAAGTGGAGTCGGACCCCGAGTCAGGTATAGATAAGTGTTGAGATTAGTGAAGTAGTGGGTTGAGTCGACGTGGTGAGGAGGTGGAACGCACTTATTGTTGTGCCGATCTCTCGCCATGGATGATTACCCGATGTTTGCTCTCCTTTTCATGTCCGTCATATGGCTGCCCCTCCTGTTCATTTTTCCACTGGGTTTCCACCGGACCACTAGGGAGGAAGGCATGGTGGACTATGTGCTCCCCAAGGAAGAGGAAGCAGGAGAGTGTAGCTATGAGACCACCCTAAGTTTTGATCAGGACATTCCTGAAGTTTGGGCGGCGCAGTTTGATTACGGCGTAGAGCGGCTTGGGGATGAGACTGCAGAAGAGATTGCTGCGTTTACAAAGATTCTAGAGACTGCTACGACGAAGGAGAGAGAATATTTGATAATGGAGAGAGAAGCCAAAATACAGCTTAGACTGGCGGCGCAAAAGAGAAAGGAATGTGAAGCGGCGAAGAGGCTGTTAGAGGAAGGAGAAGCCCTACGCGGGAGGATGGAAGCGCAGAAGGAGAAACCGGAAGATGTAGAGTCTAGGATGGCCATCCTCGCCGACGCTGTGATGCACGCCACCCAGGAAACCGCTGCGGTCCGTAAGGCTGTGCAAAAAATGGAAACCCGTCAAGAAGATCAGCGGGGTAAGTGGAAGAATTTTACAGCCACGGTTCTCAACAAGGTAAACGAGCAAACCTCCTCTTACACCATGCAGTTGGAACAACTGTGCACCAAGAAGATAGTTCGTACCATCGCTGAAGAAAAGGCCTTGAGTAGAAATGGAAAGGCCATTGGGGGAGGAGACCCTGCCAACGGAGTAGGGGGCCTGATTAAGAAAAAAAAAATTAAGGTGAAGCACCCTGACACTTATTTGGGGAAGAGAGAGGAAAACTTTGATCAGTGGGAATCGACAGTCCAATCGTACGCATATGCTCAATGCATTCCAGAGGGAGGCAAAGTTTCGATGGCTTATTCGTGCCTAAGTGGCGTTGCTGCGGATCTTACACTATCGCTAGCCAATGCGGCAGGCTGCGATCGTGATATGGTCGCATACTTGCAGAGGACGACTCTCAAGACCTTCTTAGATGCTATTCGAAATCGATTTGAGGATAAGACTAGAGCCATGAGGACCACAGACAGGCTGAACAACGTTCACCTTAGGAAGTGGAAGAGTGTGTCGGCCTTGAAGGCCACGATGGATGAACTGTTGCAGACCCCGAATCATGGACTGACCCCCGAACAGATTCTGAACGACTTTGTGAGAGCCCTCCCTGATTCCATCAAGAGCAACCTCTATGCTAAGATCAAAGAGGATGGCGTGACTTACGACAAGTTCAGTAAGTTGCGGTGGAGTAGGTTGGGTACCTCCAAGAAACAAATTGCCATTGGTACAAGGATTGGAGAAAGGAAAGGCTTGGAAAGGTAAGACCATTGTGGGGAGTATTACGGGCAAGGTTGTGAGGCCCTCACTTATGATCAAATAAAATATGGGTCAGATGGGGACAGTTGTGGAGTCCAAGGAGGTGACTTCGCTGCTGTAGTCTGTGGGGGAGGACGAGGAGGAAGAGGCGGCTGAGGTAGTGGAGGCTGTGGCTGGGAAGGAAGAGGAGGTGGCTATCAGGGGGAGTGCAGCAATGGAGGCTATGCAAAGGGAGGTAAGGGTTATGGACCCCCACATGGTAGCCCCGGCCATGCCCCCCAACAGCAAGGCAGGGGTAGAGGACATTACACCCTTGCCAAACAATGGCAATTCGGGCGGAAGAGGAACGGCACCACGCAGATACCCATGGCACCTTGGACCTGCAGAGGGGGAGCCATGGAGGGAGTTGGGTATGGCCTATGACTTGTGGCTCAAGAGAATCAAGGAAGGGACCTGCATAAAATATGGAGAGGCAGGCCATCTGATTCCCTGGTGCCCTGAATTGAGATCGCCGTCAAAAGGTAACAGTTGGTAGGAGTGGCAGCTGCTCCTACTGGGGCCTTGGGTACATTACAAGAAGCACGCGCCGCAAGAGAGACCTCCAACCCGAGGACCCCAACCGTAGAGGTTGATGTAGGCCCCCACCTAGATAGTTTTCCAGAGACTGCTTGTGCTAGGGTGCTACATGCTGCATGTGCACACGCAGGCCATTTTGCAGGCCTGCGTCCTTCAGGCCAAAAGCCTGAACTTCAGGCCGAAAGCCTGAAATCCAGGGCTTACATGCCCCCTGTCGGCTCAGCCCGAAAGCGTGAAGTTCAGGGCCTATCCCTGTGTCGTTTCAGACTAAAATTGGCAATAGCCTTTTTAGCCTGAAACGAAGGGCCATTCTCGGTCGTT